TCCTCATTTAAATGAAAACAGAAAACAACAGGTAGGGAAAAGGGTACATATATTTTACATCCTCTTTGTACACTGGGAAGCATATGGACATAATTTTGACATAGAGAACTCATGCCTAGTGATAAAATAGTCTCCGTTTTTAAGGAGTAACTTCACTGTTTCACATAACTTCTGGGACCTATATTTCAATTTAAGTAACTATTGACATTGTTTGGTGTTTATTTTACTAGAGGAAAATTGTATGTGTGTGATGCCAGTTATAGTGCATATTTGATAACAAGGGTAGGATAAATCAGTTGAGTCATAATTGTCTGCTATCTGTTTTTAAGGTCTTTTTGACCCAGGAGTCTGTGACCTGTGAAGTCTCCACTTTTTTGAGTTTGTTAAGATATTTTACAATGCAAGGATTTAAATTTAGATAAACACCACAGGAGGAAGTTGGCTGATGTAGCCCCAAATGTAAAGGATATCAAGGTATAAATTGGAAAACGTTTAAGAAGTCCTGACAACAGTCAACATGTGTGAGGAGAGGGAGGCTCAAGTTAAGGAAGTTTCTTTCTTTTTCAACTTATTACAACAAAGAGAACCTGAAATTTAACCTAGTATTTTCAGTGCTCTGATTACTTCAGCAGCATTCCCCTTTGTGAAAGCATTGCCAAGAAAATGTACTCAAATCTTGAGTTACAAACTGTTCTTGCATCTGATTGGAAGGGGCATATGAGTGGTTTGTAAGATTGCAGATCCAGAGCTGCACAAATGAAGGTTGAGACTTGGGGGGAGGGTTCAAGTCAGGGAAGGGAAGCTTCCTAGACATTACAGCTCTGTCCAGAGGCCAAATGGGAGATAAATCACTGCTGGCCACCTCTCTTATTATTGAAATGGTTCAGCCCTGGGGTTTAACTGAAGGACTTACAGGGTTTTGAAGTGCAAATAGGATGGTGAAGGGTAAACCCTTTTAGGGTTTCATTTTGATGGATTTTTTTCCTGTGTAGATTTCTGGCACTGACTGTGATCTGGAAGAGGCCCTGAAAAAACAAAAGTTTTGTTTTGTTTTTGATCAATCAGGCAATAAGAACTTTCCACAGGGGTGTACTTTTCCTGCATGCAATATCGATCCTATTGTGTTTAAAAGTCTGTCTTCTAATTGGGTCTTTTCTTGAGTTTCTGCAATGGAACTGTCATTTCAATGTCACATCTCTCTCGATATTAATGCCAAAGTTTGCGAGTGTTGAACGATGTGGTACTTTTGGATCAGGCGTTTTCGGGGGATTACTTAGGGTCAGTGGGTATTAAACAAAGTTGTCTAGTTAAAGATCAAGTCCATATCAGAACAAGTCCTTTATATATTGATAAGCAGTCTATAATTACTTAATCTTTTCCCCATTGAGTTATATAATTGTATATATTCATTTAATTATTTTGCGTCTGTTATGTTTTGCCAGTATTAAAATAAAAACCAGAAAATTCTGAGATTGTGAAATATTTGTACTTATTTGTACAGATACACTGAAGTGTTTGAGGAAATAAGGGAGACATAAAAATGTTTAAGAGAAAGACATGTTGATTTATCAAGTTGAAATTTTTCTTTTATCCCACAAATAATTCAAATGTAGGAGATAAAATATCCTTTAAAACTTACGGTTTTTAGCCACGTAGGACTGAGAGGTATCATTAGTGACTCCAAAGAAAACTCATTGTAACTTAAAGGGTTTTTTGGTGCAAAAATTTTAAAGAAAAAATAAAATATGTGTATTAAAAAAAGTCACTGTAAATGCTGACATTTCATCTTAGAAATAAGGTTGACAAAACTTTTCCTGAGCATTTGGTTCTTTATTTCAGATTTAAAAAGATATTTGTATCATTTACCATGTTTAAAAATGATAATGTCTTTTGCCGCAGGAGAGTTCTGTGTTGCTAGATATCTGTTATAAAAGCGGGTTGTTAATCTCCATAATTGACATTGATCACACAATGTTCGTAATTGTCCTCCAAATCAGTTTTTGTTTTTCTGTTCTTCTAAATTATCCCTTCACTGTATTTATCTAAATGTTCATTTAAAATTAAATTTAAATGTTAGAGTTAAAATTTGCCTATAGCTGCTTGAAGATTTTTTAAATAAGATGCTTTAAGAAGTAAAAACAATAACAAAAAACTAGATGGCATCCTGCATATACAGCCTCCATGTCATTAGTTTGTTGCTGGGAGATGTTAATATGACCTTTCCTTTGTTAAAAAAAAAAAAGAGAGAGAGAGAGAGCTATAGTCCTTCCCAGAATCCTCTTGTTAACCGTCTCTTTAACCCAAGTTGGAAGTTGTCTGATGAATGAACGGTGAGCTTTCTTCATGAACTACACATATTGTTGACACTGTGTCACACGTTGCTTTTTGATTTCTAATGTGTTTTTAATTTGCAAAGCACGCATATGTCTTTCACAGCAGTAGAACCGAGCCAGCATGTCTCAGTCCAGTTACTGCTTTATGCAAACAAGATGAGTCAGGCTTGAGGATGCTGCATCATAAGCCTTAGGTTTACTGAAACACACATGTGAATGAATTTCACTTTGAATATTGTTGAATGAAGGAAGAGACTTGAGAAAGCTTTTTTTCTCTCCAAGAACTTCTCTTGCCTCTTGGCCAGTGAATTGCCCCAATATAAAAGTGTTGAGGGGGGAAAAGTGAGCTGCAGAGTGAAAAGGCAATCCACAAATAATCACTCTTTTCTGCCTTTGATTGTGTCAGATTTTTTGTGTGTGTGTGGCAATTGTTTTCTTTTTCGCTTAGAAGAGGTTTATGGTCCAATGTCTGTCAAGTCAGCCCCTGTCTTAAGGCTGCAGTTGTATTTCTCTCTGGAGTTCCTAGAGGTGATGTTATCTTTTGTTCACTCAGCAGTGTGGTGGTTCCTGAGAGCATCTGTCACTTTAGGCATTACAAGATGGATGGGTCTCCAGTGAACTGCTGGTTGAAGCAAATGGTGAAAATAAGAAAAGACAAGAAAAGACAAGGGGTTTCAGGGTCTGCAGAGAGGGCAGACAACAAGGAAATACTGTTAGAAATCAAGAGTAAGCTGAGCAATAGAGGAAGAAAGAGCAAAAGATGGATCATATGTCATTTTATAAACATCTTGGAAACCAGAGTCTTGGGGTAGCTACTGTGATCTGAAGGGGACGTCTGCATCATGGTAAACAGTTCTGTGCTTTGGATTTGCAAAATGTGTTTGGACATGATTTAAAAAAAAAAAGGTGTGGCAAAAGTGTCAGGAAATTACAGTGATAGAGAATGTTTTATGTAAGAATTTTGTTGTTTGTAGACTTAGTCTTCTAAAATGTGGTAAAGATTTAGGAATTCTTTAATCTGTAAAATTTTTCCTTTATATATTTTTTTTCTTGCTTTCTTTCCTCTTTTCTTATTTTTTTTCCTTGTAAGCATTTAAACATCTGTAGATAAGAAAATATTTGAAAAGTTTTAACCACATAACTGATATCCTTATTGTTTACTTCTTTGACATTTTTGCAGGGAAATTCTGAAAATTCTATGCTCATGCCTTAGGGAGGCTGGGGGCAGATATTCAGTTATTTTAAGTGAACTTCCACTTTAATAGGCTCTTTGATGAAAGAAATAACGATTTGTGAGAACAAGGTGAAGATTTTGTATTATACTTAGAAATTCATTTTGTTGGTAAGAGTCAAAATTTGTGAATCCCAGATGATACAAAAGTCCCTCCTGTGGAAGAGAAGGAACAGGAAGGAGGTTGACCGGGGAGTAAGAAAGGGGTAAGGCAGGGGCTGGTATGTAGTCGAAAAAAATGATTTTGTCAAACTTTTTGGCATTCGTCTATGAGAAAGACCATAGGTTGAAAGGCAAAGAAATTAAGATGATTAGAAGCTTTAAGCTATACAAATGGTGGAGTATCTTCCTTCTCTATGGGTGTAAATAATAGATGAAAGAGTAAGAGTGACAACAAAGGATCAGGTCGTTTAAGAGAATGTGTGCAGCCTGAATAGGGGTCTGTGGCCCGGGGCCAAAGGTCTTAGCTTTGAGTGTAATTAGAAGAAAATACAAAAATGTCATTACTAGCAGGTGAAGTGTGCAGCACGTGGCCAAAAATTAGCAATTTTAGACTCTGAAGCTATTGGAATTGGATTACTAACCTTTTTTTTTAAAATCATTAAGGTCCTTGTGGAGTCATACAGTTTCATTGGCAGTAATGCTGCTTGACCTTGCTGACCATATGGGGTAATGCTGGGTTTGGGTGTAGGGAGCAAGACTCCTGACTTACCAAAAGATGTCTATTTGTGAGTGGGTGAGTGCAAAATGCATGAGATTGAAAATCTGGGGCTTGTATTTTTAATTGTTCTTTTGCCTGAGGACATTCTTCTAACGGTAGGAGAGGTAAGATATTTTTATTTCACAATCTAAAATAGTTCTTTTCTCTCTTTCCCCTCTTTCAAGTTGGCATAAAAGGAAAATAAAATGAAAACTGTTTAAAGAAAATATATGTTAATGTTACTTTAAATATTTTAGTGCCATAAATATGCATTTTGAAATCAGTACATTCTTAGGAAAATCCTTTTATGTTCTTTATGAGACATGGTAACAAAATAGAAACACTTCTAAGTTACGTATAAAAATCAGCGACAAACAGTTTTTATTTCAGTTGATGCTTTATGACTGTATTTCCTACTTTTCCTGTGCAATTGTTCATATTGACCATAATCTACTTAGTGGGGAGAATAATATGACCATTGCAATTTTCAACCAATTATATATAATTATTTAGTTTAATTTCTCCGAGGGATACACTACTCAAAAGGGTAGGAAATAGTAGCTCTTTTTATTCTTTCAGGCTTTCTTCCCTGGAAATTATTAAAGCATTTGTTTCAAAAAGTAGAAAAATAATTTTAATCCTTATTAGTTATGTCTTAAGTTTTTGATAGTTCTTTGAGAAGATAAATTTTGGTCAAGCACTAGAGATTATAAAACTCAAACTCCTTAGGGTAAGAAATTACCTTCCACTAATTTCATTCTTAAAAATGAAACAAGTCTCTGGGCTTTAAGCAAAAATGCAGACTTAACAGATTTATTCAACTTACATTTAGTGGGGGGATTCTTAAGAACAGAAATTATTTTTGAGTATACAGAATGAGGTGTGATCACTGGAGGAGTACCTAAGAGGCAGGAATGTCTGTATTTGCCATTTTGACGTATATAAAGCTGTGTAAGACTTTGATAATCCATTTCTAATTGGAATTTTTGTAGAATTGTGAATATTTAAATTACTATATTGTAGAATATAATGCATTTGGAAATTAACTCATGTCTTTACATACATATTACTTTTTATGTTTTTGCAGGTACAAAAAAGCTTTAAACAAGTAAAATCTAGGCAACAGGCTCCCTGAAGTGTTGACAGCCCAGCTTAATCATGAACGTGATTCAAAAATGTTAATAAACAAACCAAGGTATTGTACAATTATAATATGCTCCCCTTCCAAATTTTTCAAGATCAAAGTTTTTGGAATATATTTAGAATTTAAATAAAGCTACTATCTTTGGCACTTAAACTGATGAAGCAGATATTGCTATGAGCTCCTCTCCTTCCATTTCCTCTCCTCCCAGCTCTCCTCTACCCTCATCCTCCCCACCAAAGAAAACCCAAAAAAACAAAACACTTTCTCAGCTTTAAGTTTTTTTCCCTTATAACAGCCTCTGTGTTATATTTCCTACATATCTAAATTAAGACAATAAGAATTCAGTTCTTGATTCCTCTTTGTGGATTGTGGTTTTTGTCTTTCAAGTTGTCTGAAAGAGAGACATCTAGATTATTGGCCTCCGTAGAAAACCCGTATCTAGTGACCGCATGTATTTAAAGGTTTTAACCTATAACAGTATCCTGAGATGTATGTTTTAAAAGCTTTATGAAAGTTTCATTTTTCTATTTCTGGAAGCCTTTTAATTTAGAAAGGAAAAAAGGTGACACTGTCCCCCTTTTCCCCTACTATGTCAAAGAAAATAAAAAGTTTGCTTAGAATTGAGAATTTAGGGATACTGTTTAGGTAACTCTTGTCTGTCAAGGCATAACCCAAAGACTGGCTCCCTCCTTTTGGAAGTTACAACGTGTTTAAATAGCCTCGCATTTCCAAGAGAGGCCAAAGATCTTTTCCTTTTTTATGACCCATCGTATCCTTTTGAGGCCAAAAAGAACAAGAGGGTCATTGCCACTTCAGCCCAGTCCCTGTTTGTTCCTTCATGGTGAACACGCAGCTCCTGAAACCTAGGATTGGCCTAACATTTGGGCCTGGAACATCTGGAAAACGGTCCGAGAGGCAGCAGAGGAGACAGAGAGAGGGAGAACTGATGCGTTTTGTTACACCAGGTGCTAGGAGGAAGCAACATTCGCCTTTTTGATATGGGAGGCAAATTCTGCCGGCCCTGGAGTTAGGCTTCAACAATTGAAGAGGTCAAAGGACAGCTGAGTGGGGTCAGTGAGACACCATGGGGTGTATTTTGTTACTTAGTAAAAGGAGCAGCCTCCTAAAACCTTAAAGGATTCTCTTGAAAATCTGTGTTGTGAAAAGGTTTTATGAGTCTCATGGCAAAAACTCCTGATTTATCTCAGGAATGCTTGCTTTTGTCTAATGGAAGGATAATCCTTACCAAATGTTGGCAACGACTATAAGAGTCAATATAGGTCTGAAAGAACAGTTAGGGTTTGTAGCGTACTTTGCTTTCCAAACTGTTTATCATTTTAACCTTTGTCTCTTAGTGAAGAATTTTACACTATTGAAATATCACCTTTTTTTTTTCCTTGGAGGAGAAAGTGGCAGAGATTAGGGTGGGGAGAAGTAAGGAATGAGCCTACATTAATTTTAAAATTATTCTAAAAAGCTTTTTGGCTGAACCCAAAACAGGATATTATAAACCTTTAAAAGCACCAAAACTTAACTCTAAAAAGTTCTTTAAATTTACGTTAACATGAAAAAGGAATAAATGGAAGTGTGCCATTTATTTTCGGATTACAGAAGTTTTTTTTTTTTAATTTAGTTGTCGGTACCCTTTCATAGAAGTGCGTATCAGTTGATGAATAACCTTAAACCATGTCTTTTTCTCAGACTGTGTTTTTTGCACATTTTGTAGTAGTAAGAAGAAAATCAATGTCAGAGTCAGGAATAGAGAATAAGAAAAGCAAATAGGATAAAGAGTTTTCTCTTTGAAAGGCAATGGGGAAAGGGGGGGAATCTGCATGTGGTGAGAATTCTCTTTGCCACACAGCCCCTGACCTCAAGATACCACGTTTATGACCATGGATACTTTCGAAAGGTGTTGCCACCTGGCAGATAGGTAGTAAAAGGTAGAGGAATCCGGCAGTATTTTGATGTTCCAGTTTACACACTATATACATGTACACAGATATAGAGTGTGTGCAGTGCAGTATGTAAAGGGGAAAAGATAAAATGATAAGTAGTATAAAATATGCTTTGTTAAGCATTGTCTTGCTAATTTATGATTTTACAATAAATCTGAATTAGTTGTGTGATTTTTTTCAATCCTTTTAAATACTTACTCAGTTTAAAGCCACGTGTACATAAACGTAAGGCTTAGCAGATCAGTGTGCTCTGTATCTATTTTCTCAAGGTTAAAGTGCCTTTCAACAACTAATTTAGAAACCTAAGGGTAGTGACTGATAATTGCCTAGAGAAAACCCACAGCTGTTTAAGTAGCATTGAAATTGTGGCAAAACTGACAAATACAATTAGCAATGTTAATAAGAAAATGGAAAGACAGGGGCAGATGACAGAGTGGAAAGATGAAGGTAGCGGGAGTCAACACGTCCATGTAAGAGCAGAATGTTCACAGTTGCTCTGAATTTCCAGTGCTTTTGCTTGTAAGCTGAGTCCCTCGTTTACTCCTCTCTGAACTACCAGCAGAATGGGTGTTTGTAAATTAAATAATTCAGATCCGTGTGTTCAGTCCTTAACTCACATCTGATTTTGAGAGAAGACAGCAGCAGCAGCAGCTAAGACAATCAGATTTTGCCGATTCCAAGGCACAGTTTTATTCGTGGTGCTTTTAAAAGGTCGATTTTAAACGTATTTCTCTTTGACTGTAATTACAGTGAGCAGGAATTTCTTTACCTGTCTTTGCACCCTTATAATTCTTATTAGTCAACCACATACATTACAATGGAGATCAAAGCCCTGTTTCTGGATTTAGTGACCCAGTATTACCAAAACAAAACAAAAAAATCTGCAGAAGCCTTTAATGTGTTCTTACTAATTATGTTTTATCTGGTTAACGTTCATAGCCTGCTTTCCAAACAACTTCTTGGAAAAATTAAATGAGGATAGGCAACTAAGAGAAATTAGGTGAATGTTATATGAAAAATGTTTAATCACCTGTGTTCTTTCCATTATACTTGGTAAAGCATCCAATGAAATTTGGAGAATTATTGTAGTAGCTTTTGAAATTCTACCCTGCGTTTGGGAAATTGGTTTTTGCCTCTGGTGTTTTATGCAGATTTTAATGATTGTTTTGATAAATCCCCAGAAGTTTGTTCTTGGAAACCATAGAGACTCAATTCTCTGAGTGTGGCAGCCTTGATGGATGTGGTAAGCCACACTTTGGAAGCATTTCTGGTTATTTAATGTTTTCTGTTCTGGATTATTGACTCTTCTCCCTGTTGAAAAAATTGGTCCCTGGTGACATGGTAGAGGTCACACATTGCCTATTATTGTTTTGTTTCTTTGATCTAACACAGGGGTTGCCTCTGGTAATTATACTAGTTCCAGAGAGTCCTGACGAGATGTGTTTATTTTACAGAAGAATTTCTGGTATTTCAAGGAAGAAAGTAAAAATTTCCAGTAGTAACACATAACCTCTTGTCACAAAGGAAAAATAGCATTGTCCTTTATCTTTGAATTATGACTGTTTTTGTAAAATCATTATGAAATTAGTTGGCATATTACAGTCATTATTTCTATAGCAATTTAAGACATATTGTGTATCCAGAAGTATGTTGGTAAAAATGGTTCATTTTAAAATAAAGTTACTAGGGCTAGGTATTTATTTTAGTACTTGAAATACTTTTGACTTCAGAAACTGTCAGAAGAGTCACCCAGATTTAAAAGTACAGAACCATTAAAAGAGGTTGGAAATTTTGTCTTTTAATCTGCTTGCATTTTCTAAAGATTTGTAGCAAGGAGGGGGAATGAAAAAGAAAAAAGAAACACTTTTGTTTTGAATGCGTTAATTTTGTGCTTTTTTTGGAATGCGCTTGGAAAGAGATAATATCTCTTCAAACCCATTTAATGTATAATTGGATAAGACACAAAAAAGCCCAATGTATTCTTTTTTTTTTCCACTCGGCTCCAGTTGTAAACAAAATATTTTCCCCTAAACAATCACAATTTAATGGACAAGCCAGACAAATACTAGACCCAACTAATTATAATTAAGAGCAACAAATATCAATTTAAACGAATAAATAAAATACAAAAAGTGTGCAAAAGAGAGAACCGTGAATATATGCTTGTTTTAAATTTTGAACTATAAACTCTTTGAGAACTTGCAGGACCCATGTTTGACTTCTCGGTCTAGGAGTCACATATTATCACTCTCATCAGTGAATATTTTTTAACAGAGAAAGGGCGTGTCAGCAGTAATGACTGTAATAAGTAGTTTTCTTATATGAAGTCAAAGAATATGATAGCTATACGGGACAATAATGATTTGTCTATATGATTGTAAAATTTCTTAATAAATGAATTGTATATACTACCAAATACCAGCTTTTGGAACTTTTACATTGGTGGTCATCTGTTTCTAGAACAATGAACCTAAATCTACTGCAGTGCCCAACACATACACGGAAGTACATCTTATTTTTCTTAGTGTCCTCAGTGTGGCACTAAGCTTAAAAAAAAAACCCTACATATTACTTCCAGCATTTTCTGCACATTTATTTTGCTCTATGTACTATTCTAAAAACATTGTATAAGTTTTATGTATTCTCACAAAAACCTATGATATTGATTGTGCTGCCCCATTTTACAGATGAGAGATTAAGAAATTTACCCAACATCATTCAGGGTAATGGGTGTATGTGGGTCATGTGACTCCAGAGCTTATGTGCTTAACTGCTTGAACAGTAGGATTTCTATAAATGCTGCCTGGCTGGGCGGATGATGGTTAACCTCTGGAAAGTGGGTGACATCCATCATCTATCTATCTATCTATCTATCTATCTATCTATCTATCTATCTAACTATACATCTATAGAGAAAAAGGTAACAAAAAACTGACAAGTTATAACAAGTTGTCTATTTATAGCACTATGCCTGGCACACATAAATTGTAGCCTTAAAAAAAAATTCAAACCAAAACCAACTACATACACACACAAACAGCATGTGTCATCTTCACCTATTTTTTTCTATTTCAAATAGCTTGGTTTAGTCTTGGG